CCCCAATGACGTCCCTGTAATCACATGAAGGAAAGATTTGCCGAGAGAGAGAGAGAGAGAAAAAAAAATTAAACGTTCCAAATGAAGGTCCCTAAAACTCATATCATATAAATTACTGTTAGATTACATTTTTTAACACAACATATGGAAAGTTTCTATCTTATTGTACGGATATATATATATATATGTAGATCCAGTTCATACGAGAATAAAAAAATGTATAATTTGCAACTCATACTTTTCCAACATAATTTTGGGGCCTTCATTTCCTACAGTCCGTTCTTCTTTCCCGCCAGACTTTTTGTCCATGTTATAATGTATACATTTTAATGTGTCAATTAATGTGCTTAATTCATATCACAAGGGACTTCTATGAGATTGAATACATTTATTGCATAACCTATGTATATCAGACGATATATATATATATTAACACTTTTTAAGTGCAAATAAAGCTACACTTTACCGATAATCAGAATATTTCAAGTCTTAAATTCGTGCTTCCTTCAAGTTGAAATGTAAAGCTTATTTAACCTAGACAGCTCAAATATGTGTTTCTGGATGTAACGACGATATCAAAATATGAATATTGTGGTTTGGTGGTTGTTAAGCCTAAAGTTACACAATGGGCTGTTTGTGTTCTGCTCACTACGGGTATCGGAACCCGGTTTTTAACATGTGGAGTTATCGCTCTCGGGGGGGGGGGAGGCAGTTCTAATTATGAATACATCGTTCATTAAAGCCTTGCAAAAATTATATCGACAATACTTTCTCGTTTGTTTTAAGCATGTACAGACGTTCTTCCTGGATTCATATTCAATTTTGGTTTGTTTATCCGCGAACTTCTACCACAGTTTTGGAGCTAGAATGGATCAAACTTGGCATGGGGATTCTAGAGTGGTCTAAGAGTATTCTTATCTATATGGCGTAATCCTCTTTAGTAGGGTCAAAAGGTCACTCAAGCATGAATCTGGCATCGAATTTGATGTCCTGCCCCCTTCCCACACTCGACAGCTAGTCGGACCAAACTTGGCATACATGCTCGAGTACTACGGGCGAGTATCCTAGCTGTTTTTTTCGGGTATTGACCAGTGACCCCCACACCCCTTTGGGTAGCTATTAGAAATAACTGGGGATAATGGAAGCGTTTGATTGGTACGTTATAAATTATCACGAGAGGGCCTTTTTATGATTATTCAAATAAACGTTAGTAAATCGCTCTCAAGCAGCTCACTGCATATTAATAATGGTTTACATATTTCCTTATTGAGTTTCACATTTAACAACGGACAAACAAGATCTACCCAACTGTCATTTTTGGGGAGAGTAAAAGGGAGAAAACTGCTTTCCGATTATCAAGTAACATCCTTGTATATAGAAGTTCTTAATCAGGTACAAAAAAATCATTAATTGAAATATTTTAAAAGCTTATTTGTCGTGGTATCAAAACTTTCGTACGTTAACTAATCACATATACATTTTCATATGGGTTAATAAAACGTCTATAATAAAAAAAACTTTATGTATGCACTATACATACACACAATATAGCCTGGGAACAATTCGTGATAACGTTTCATGTATAGCCTAGGAACAATTCGTGATAACGTTTCATGTATAGCCTGGGGACAATTCGTGATAACGTTTCATGTATAGCCTAGGAACAATTCGTGATAACGTTTCATGTATAG